AAGTAATAATGATAGCTAAAATGGAAAATACAAATATAAAAATGGATTCAAAATATTAAAAAAATTATAAAATAATCCTGGTCCAAAATCAGTATCACAATATGGTTATTTTTGATAGAAATTCAACAAAGAAATTATTTCATAATTAATATTTGCATATCTTAACTGCAAAAGTCTTGTTCTTCCTCTGAATGTTTTTTTGTTATAATAATATTTTATGGAATATTATTATATTATAAAATTATGTTTTATTTTTATACTGTTTTGCATTTCAAGTACACTTTTAAATCAAGAAACATTTCAATGACAAGATATTAAATCTGGTTTTCTGAGAAATAATATTATATATTATTGTATATAAATGAAATATATTATTTTATAAAGTAAAATTCCCTTTATTGTTATAACTACTCATTTTTATTAAAGTATTATTTATTAATTATTATTATTACTTGTATTTTTTATTAATTTTCACAATTAATTTGTACTTTTATGAATTTTTTATTTTAAAAATTAATTTTACCCAAAATTCTCATTACTGTAATGCTAAATAAATAAACAATATTTACTGTAATGCTTTTATTTTATTTTATTTTATTTTTGTATCATTTAATTTTAAAATGCACTAAAATACTTAAATATTTGTTAAAAATTATTTAAAGAAAATTGCATTTTACATCAAATTTCCATGCTTTTTACTTATGTATAAATAAATAAATAAACAAACAATCCTTACTGTAATGCTTTTATTTTATTTTTTGTATCATTTAATTTTAAAATGTACTAAAATACTTAAATATTTGTTAAAAATTATTTAAAGAAAATTGCATTTTACTCCAAATTTCCATGCTTTTTACTTACATGCATAAATAAATATTATTTCAATAAAAAATGTGTGTGACTCACAGCAATTGTGTAAAGAGTATGTCAGCGTCTCGTGTCTCCATCACAGTGTGACGTTATTCAGAGCGAATCGCAGCGGCTGTATGTTTCTGACAGAGATCATGCGACTAAGACGGTGTTCAGGTGAAGCCGGGGGGAAATTAGAAAAGTGGCGCAGCTGGATGAAAATAGAAATGTGTTTTTAAACGCTTTCACATTGTTGCTCTATTCTGGCAGAAATTGGTCACAGCTGGTTTGAGCCGAGGTGCCTGCCTTTATATCCGATGCGTGTAAACGTGAAAACACGACTGCGAGGTTAAACAGCTTCTCCAACAGCAGATGTTTCATCCTCATCGTGAATGTGATTCGATTGCTTTGGGAGAGCATTCAATACAAGCGTGTGCGACTGAAAACACATCTTAATTCAATCAGAGCACGTTTGCTGTGTTTTTCATGGCTTTCATAGCAGATAAGATGGATTTTGATGTGTGTGTATGTATATATGTTTGTGTGTTACTGTAATTATTACAATTACAACGAATTTAGGTTATTATTATTATATATATATATATATTTTGTATTATACATTAATTTTATTTTTATTTACTTTTTATTTAATTTTAATTTAATTGTATTTTATTTTATTTTAAAATGGAAATGAGTGTGACTTTATGCTCAGTGAGTAGTAAAAACATTTTTTTAATGATAAAAGACATAACTTTTTATCCTAAATTATCATTTCTGTAATGCAAAAATATTATTTTATTATTTTTAATTTAATTATTTAATTTTTTTATTTATTCCCATTACTGTAATTACGACAATTACAATGATTGTAGGTTATTATTATTATTATTATTATACATTAATATTAATTTTATTTACTTTTTAGTTTAAATTTAATTTAATTTAATTTTAAAATGGAAATGAGTGTGACTTTATACTCAGTGAGTAGTAAAACATTTTTTTAATTATAAAATACATCAAATTTTACCCTAAATTATCATTACTGTAATGCAAAAATATTATTTTATTATTTTTAATTTAATTTAATTTATTATTAATTATATAGAAAAGTGTAAATATTTGATCAACAATTTTTCAACATACATATATATATATAGTAATGATTCAGTCCACTGAAGGCGAGCGTAGTGAGAACCCATGTGCAGTTTATTTACAGACGTGATCCAAAATACAAACATAACCCGAGACACAGACTTGACGAGGCATGAACAGACTTGACGAGGCATGAACAGACTTG